CTGTTTATACAGGTGATAAGACTGCCCAATAACAGTTTTACCAGTCTTAGCAGTTTACAAACTGGTAAAGCATCTCCAATAACACACTGAAGGTGCTTAATTCCAGCCAGCGCTCACACCCCCAACTACCCCTTGAAGGTCTTGAATTCTGAAAACCTTGACACATGCACTTCTGCCTATTAAGCTTTGTTTTCTATTGGACTCAAAGTGAAAACATAAAAGAGAGGCTTTCTAATGTGTGCTTTAAAACTCTCATTACATATTTATCCATAATCTATGATGTTTCTGTGATCAGGAAATTGCAAAATGGGCACGAAATGCTTGAGGAATATTAAATTTTACTGCTTATTAGGACTGTGGCTGATTTCTGATTCACCAGGTGACCAAATTTTCATCAAAGCAAACCAAAATTGCTGGGTCTAATGTTCTTGGTGGAATTCGACTTTATTGATGGTCTATATCAGAACACTGGTTTGCTGCCTATATGCATCGCATTTCTGAGTTATGCCATGTGCTGATAGTAGATCCCTCTTTAAAAAGAAAATATTAGTTTCTGAACTATTTTACTTTCTGATACTTTCTGACATGTGATTGGTGTTGTTAAGTACCGTCAAGCCAATTCCGACTCACAGCGACCCTGTATAGGGTTTTCAAGGCTGTAAACCTTTATGGAAGCTGAAATTCTCATTTTTCTCCTGAACAGGTCGTTGCTGTTGGTAAGTGCCATCGAGTTGCTTCCGACTCACAGCAACCTTGGATAGGGTTTCCGAGGAGAGAGTGGTGAGTTTCAACTGCCAACTTTGCAGTTAGCAGTCCGGTGCTTCTCCTATATCTCCACACCAGGATTCCGAATAGGTCATTAGTCAGTTATTATATATTAAGTAGTCATAGTAGTTTATTACACAAAGAAGAACTGCTTTTAGTTGATATAAGAACAAAAAACAATTTTGAACGCTTCTTTGGATAATATAATAACCACCGAGAAGCAAAAAGGAAAATGAAAAAGAATCTTTAAAACTTTTCCTAAAATATATATGTGCGTAATTAGTTTCTGGAGTGAGTCCACATAGCTATGCTACATTTCCCAGAAAGTGATATTTCTCATCACAGTATGGAAATAGTCATTACTGCAGCTATATTGCCAAAGAATAGACTTATAGGGAGGCCTTGTGGGGTGCTGTGGGTTAATGTGCTGGACTGCAAAGTCGGTTTGAACTGCAAGCTCACCAACTGCTCCTCAGGAGCCCTATGCAGGGTTGCTATGGGTTGGAACCAACTCGGCACTTAACAACAAGAGTTAGATGGGTGGTCCAAATAATTGATACCTAGGCAAAGGGGGTTGGGTTCATCATGGTACTCAGGACTATCTTGTAAATGGCCTGCGTGCCTGAGTAAGGCACTCATCCTGTTGCAAAGAGGAAAGTTTCAGGCATAACAGAATACAAAACACCCAGAAACCATTGCCACAGAGTCAGTTCTGACTCATGGCAACCTCAGTTCTACTGAGTATAAAACTGTGCTCCCTAGGGTTTCCTTAGCTGTGATCTTTATAGAAGCAGATCGTTAGGTCTGTCTTCTGAAGTGTAACGGCCGGGGCACAAACCACCAACTTTTCAGTTAGTAGTTGTGCACAAACCATTGCCTGGCCCAGGGACACTTTAAGCATGAATACAACAAAGGAAGATCTTAGTTTCATGATTTGGATAAAGCAGCGCTTTCTCCATTCATCAGAGGAATGGAATTTGTTTTGATCTAAAACAAAGAGTCCTGGTGTGGCACTGTAGAATAAGCAGTTTACCGTTAATTTCAAAGTCGTCAGTTCAAATCCATTAGTCACTCCTTGGAAACCCTATGCAGGTTCCCTATGACTCTATGGTACTTAACAACAGCAACAACACAAGTCCCCTATAGAGACGAGTGGAGTGTGGGACCCTATCAAGAGAAGCAGTGACACCAGAGATGAAGGCAGAGATGAAGACATGGAGAGATGGAGCAGCTGGGGACTCTGGACTCTGGGAGGGAGTGGGGCAGTGTGTTGATGGCCAGGGGGCAGGTTTGCAGGGTGGGGTGTACCCTTTGGCTGTTTAATGATGCATGGAGGGGATTGTAATCATTGCAATGAAATCAAATAAGATAGGATGCATATAAAGCTAATGTTCTCCCATGTAAACTATCACTCAATTCACAATAAAAACTTAAAAAAAAAAAAAAAATCCCCTATAAACAGCATGGTATTTCCAAAGTAGCTCATTTATGAAAAACATTCTAGCCTGAAAAAGAATTTGCATAATATGCAGAAAGGCTATGCCAAAAGCATCTTTATTTTGTAAGTTTTTCCTTAATCGTTGTTGTTGTTAAGGGTCCCCTAGTCAATTACAACTAATAGCAACCCTGAATGGGGCTTGCAAGGAGTGACTGGTGAGTTTGAACCGCCAACCGCATGGTTCAAACTGGCCTCCTGGCCCAGAGCTTATTCTACAGCACCACACGGGGACTCCCAACTTTATTTAATTATCATGGATATTTTCCCCTATAAAACATACTGAATAAACTATCACATAATTCACAATCAAACATATGTATATTTTCCTCGTGTTATCTAAAAAGTAACACTAAGCCCTGAGAAAACTAACAGTGGAGTGGCAAAGAAATGAGCTGAAATAAAACAATTGTGAGGATGGTGCAGAGCTGGGCAACGTTTCGCTCTGTTGTACATAGGGTCACTATGAGTAGGAAATGACTCGATGGCACCTAAGAAGACAACATTCAGGCTTAGTAACAACAGCCATCGGTACACATCCATCTGATCTACTAGTTTATGTAAATGTTCAGCATCTTCAAAATGAAGAGATGCATTCAATTATCCAGGTAATGGTTGCATCTCCATGGGTACAACTCTCTTCTCCTCATGGATTTCGCTCAGCATTCAATGAAAAATTTCTTTGTCTTTGACTGACAGAAATAAAAACAAAACAAAACAAAAAAACAAACAGAAACTAGTTTCAGGGGACCAACTGTTAAAACAAGAAAAAAGAGAAAAACACAACGTCTATCTCCTATTTAAAATGTCTATTGGTAAAATCTAGACACCATGCTATCAGCAGCATCTGGAGATGTGTGTTTGCATTTTATAACCATTTCTTTGCCTTCAGTTCAGAGTTCTGGTACGGTGCTGTAGAACAAAGCACTTGACCACAATGCCAGTTTGACCACAGGTTAGCAGTTCAAACTCACCAGCTGCACCTTGGAAACTTTATATAGAATCGCTATGAGGCAGCACTGAGTTGTCAGCACCTAACAACAACTATTGTATCCGTCCAGTCACTTTTCTGATTTGGACTGGTACAGATAACTCTGATGACTCTACTTCACCTGACTATAAAGAGAGGGACATCATTTGTGTTTCAAATGAAGAGAGATGGTGTTGTCGTTGTGAAGAGCTGTTGAATTGGTTCCAACCCATAGCGACACTTTATAGGGATTCTGAGGAGTGGCTGGTGAGCTTGAACCACTAGCCTTGAGGTTAAAACTGACTTTGCAGTCCAGCGCATTAACCATATCATTAATATTAATGATATTAATATCATTAATATGAAACTAACACATTAGTTTCATAGCCTCATCTTCATCAAATTGCAAGGAACTTGCTCTCATTAAAAATGAACTTGCATTAGGCAGAATCTATGGCTAAATATTTGTTCTTACTAATTTTCAACACTGCCTGTAGATCAGAAGTACAGAAAGTATAGTAGACAGGGTTGAATCTCTACTGCTTGTGTCACCTGCATTCATTTCCTGAGATGACGCTATCATTTTCTCCTCTGATTTTCTCTCACTCTTTTATAATTTATGTTCCTACTGTGCTCACTGGAGTCCTGGTGTGGCACTGTAGGATAAGTACTCATCACAAGATTGTTATTGTTGCCATTAAGTGTTGTCAAGTCAGCTCCGGCTCATAGAGACCCTGTATCGGGTTTCTGAAGAGTGGCTGGTGAGCTTGAACCACCAACCTTTCAATTCAAACAGAAGCACATCAGCACACAGCCCCGCACAGGGACTCCACAAGGTATTTGGTTCAAACTCACCAGTCGCTCCTTGGAAACCCAATACAAGGTCCCTATGAGTCTGAACTACTCAAAGGCACTTAACAACAACAACTGTGCTTGCTTACTGAGCTGCTTGCTTGATTCTCTGACAAATTTCTAAGAACTTGTTGTTGTTGTTGTTGTCAGGTGCCATCGAGACGGAACCGACTCATAGCGACCCCATGCACAGCAGAACGAAACAATGTTCGATCCTGGGCCAACCTCACTACCGCTGCCACACTTGAACTTAGGCGACATCTTATTGATTTTGTTTCTATTTTTCGATTGTGGTTAGTTGCGTTCTGTTTAATCGGTCCCCCCTCCTTCTTGGGATGTTAAAATTTGAATTTAGCTTTAAATTTATTTATTTATTTTAAATTTTAGCAATGAAACACAAATACTGCACAAAAATAGAACATGTTTCAGTTATGCTGTTTTTTAAGTGTCATCAAGTTATTTGACTCATGGCTACCCTGTATAGTATTTCCAAGGAGCAGCTGGTGTGTTTGAACTACCACCATTGTGGTTAACCCTCTAATGCTTATCCTGAAGCACTATACAGGACTCTTCTCAGTTACAGAACACTTTAGATATAGAAACAAAAATTTTAATTTAGCAACTAAAGTTTGATAGGCAACGGAACCTCTCTTTTGAGGTTTGAGTTTTTAAGTTCTATCAATAGTTTCACATTCCTGGGCTCTCAATCACACACACACACACACACACACACACACCCCTTAGAAATGTCCACACAATAATATGGATGTACTACAAACAAGTAAGAGTATCTCACAGTGCTGAACATGTCTGAGATATGAGGAATTAGCTTAATGTTTCAGAAGAAAATTAGAATAGTTCTTCTTTAATATACCCAGAGAAGGAAAAGCTAAGCCTGATAGTGAGTCTGTCCAGTACCTTGGTAAACATGGGCTTCCCGTGCTGGGTGACCATGGCACACTGGTCGCAGTCCACCGTGATGGATGAGTTGTGATATGATTCTTTCGAGTGTTTGAGAATGTAATACAGGTCGGTCACCCCTCCTTCAAACACAGTGCTAAAGTAACGGGGGATGAGGGTCCTGCCGATCGCTAGGAGAGAGAATAGAGAAACAAACCATTAACACCAGTATTAGATGCCTGGCAACTCACTTTATAACCAAATCTCCTATACTACTGTGCAAATTATCTCAAGAAAACATTGCTGTCAATTTCAGCATATGGCGGCCTCACGTATAACAGAATGAAATGGCGCCCAGTAGATGAAAGGAGCTCTGGTAGCGTAGTGGTTACGAATCAGGCTGTGAACCTTAAGGTCAGAGGTTCGAAACTACCAGCTGCTCC